CGGATCGGAAGCATTGACAATATTCTTTATTTTTAAAAGGCTCTAACTATACAATGTTTGGAGTGAGTTATTAGCGAATAGTACTGAAAACTGATTTCTTTCATTCGATCGACGCTACGACAAAGAGAAAAGCAAGATTTTAATCACCAAGTCAACGCTAAATCGATTTTTATAGCAGACCAGGGGGTCATTCGCCTAACCGAAATGCTTTGGAAAACGCTAACGCTTACGATTTCATTTTGTTATTTCTAGCCGCCTGAGGTTTTCAAATGCCTCGCGCTCTTTTTTTCTTTTGCATTGGTAATAACAATATTAAAGAAAATGAGCGTGAGGTATTTGAAAACCTTCGGCGGTTTTCCAAAGCATTTCCGTTAGGCGAATGGCCCCCTGGCTGTGAACAGGAAAAATACTAGCAGTTAACAATTACTATTCAAAAGAACCAACGAAATTGTTGAAATTAAGAAAAGATGCGCTTGCCTCGATCGGGAGTTATAGCTTCTCCGAAGATCAAGTTTGTCTCGACAAGAATGGCCAACGAAATATTCCAGCGACTTAATTCAAAAGTTTGATCAGACAAAAAAACAACGCAAAAACGAACAACTGCTTTTGTGACAATAGAATCTAAGACGTTGCACCCCAGGTAAACGCAAGATGCGACTCCTTAAGAACATGTTCGGACAAAAACTGTTTTCACCAACCCGATTAGAGAACTAACCCGTTGTGCTAAAGTTGAAAATCCAATACGAATAAAGATCACCTGTTAAACACCGTACTATTGTGATTTTTGCTCGGATCAAAGTCAACTTCTCGGAATATATTTGATTGTGTACCTTAATACTCCAAAACAGAGTTGCTTTTTATTTTCTTACGAAACAAGCAAGAACGACTGTGTGAACATTTGAAAAAAAAAAACGCAACAGCTGATTTCCAGTAACGGATTTTTGCTATGATATTTGAAATTAAACAAATATCTTATTAAATGCCTACTTAAATAAAAATAAAAATTGACAATTTGCAATTGTCAATTATGTAGTTAATATTTAACAAACGATCTCTTTATAAATGTCAATGAATTAAGTTCAATATGGTTAAGAACTACATATCTATATTTGCAACATCTTGTTTTTATCTTCCGAAACCATTTCATCTTTAAAATAGTTCAAATTACACAGTTTCTTTGGAATCGAAAGACAATATAGGTAAATGTTTTTTTTTTTCTTTATTTATTTAGAGGCCAGCGAATATGCCAGCCTCATCGTACCCTAACCAAAACATACACAACTAATTTAATTTAAAACATTGGAGAGGGCGAGCTATTCTTACTAGCGAAAACCATATCAAACATCGACTTTGCTGCATCTGAGTTTGGTAGTGCTAATATTTCCACAAACGAACCTATATTTTCAAAGTTAAGTTGATATTGTTGTATGAATAGCTCTCTCTCTCTTCTGTTCTTCACACATTCCATCAAAATGTGTTGGACATCGTCCACTTTGTTACATACTTCACAATTGGGTAAATTAATTTCCTTTCTCTTTTTTTTCTTTTTCTTTCTTTTTTTTAGAATTAGATAAATGATTTAAACTGTATCTTATTTACACTGTAAGCTACGAATCGCTGAAGGTGTAAATCAAATTTTATATTTTCTTTTGAAGCCTATCTGAAACAGACGTGAATAAATATCCATAGAATTACTTTCATTGTTTTACTCTGAAGTACATACTTTTCGATTACGAATATCAGTGAAAAGCAGTTACCCTACAAAGAGAGTTTCTTTCGGTGTGCTGGTTAGGTAGCGGCCCGCATGCTCCGATGTGGGTCGACTCGACCAACTGCTTACAAATCGAGACACATTTTAGTACTGATTCTTATCGAATGTTAACGATTTCTAATCGCAATAAGAATTGGCAACACAATATGGACTATACGGCCTGAAATAAATTATTATTATTATTATACTCTTTGGTTTTTTATAAAAAGATATAAAAGTAAAATACAAAAACGTAAATACAAAAATAAATATAGTATAAAAAACCTAACCTAGAAGGCCACCAGCAGCGGAGCCAGGCCCAAGCTACCGGTGGTTAGGGCCGCAGAGAAAGAAACTATATATATTATTATTATTAATAGAGGATGTACCTACATATTCCTATACCTTTTAAAGCAAAATTATTGGGTTATATAATATGTCTTACTTAATGAAACTGAAACTCAAAGTAATTTATTAGGTGTTACAAGCACTCATGAATGTCTAGAAGCTACGCCAGCGGTTCGTAAATCTACGACGGGAGACCTTGTACTGAGAAGAACCGGCACGAAACTTAGAAATAGAAAGGGCTATTTTATCTCTCTGTTTAATTATTTACGAGTCGTCAAGTAAAAAAATGACTTCAGGGATGATTCGTGAAGTCACCTTTCATTACATAATGTGATGTTATATGCCCTAACACTCAGACATAACGCAATCAACAAATGGCTAATCTCAACGCACTTAACAACGCCAATTAGTGGCAAAAATATGGCGTGATGCGTGAATCGTTCTCACTTACCATCATCTGTCATCGTGTGCACACCATGAAGACAACCAGCACGTAATTATTTAGACACTTAATTTACTTACTCAATTAGTAAGGCCGCAATCTCCGTCGAGTGCCAATTAAAAAATAAAAGAAACTGCAGGGGTGCGAGAGGGAGATTCGATCGAGCGTCCCTTTCTCGCGAACGGTTGAGACGCAACTCGCTGATTGATACTCGATGATATTTTGTAACTTACTTATAGGATATAGCTTAATTTAAAAAAAAACGGTTAAAAGATCGTATGTGCAATTGTCAGTACAGCGGGTTATAGAAAAGCTCATAATTTACAATTATTTTGAAAACTCTTTCCTAAATGTAGGTAAATTGGTATGTACTATAAAATATTAAACAGAAAAGTAGATCTCCTTAACAGAAAACTCGATTTGTTCTCGTCTCAATTCCGTTTCGTTGAACAAAAAAAAAACAAAATGCAACCATTCCCAGTTTCTCGAAAAAAAGGCACGTGTTAGTTACTTATTCCGTCTCCGACTTGTACTCTTCGAACATGCATCCGGCTTCCTGCTCTACGCGTCACTTGCAGTAACGTGAAAAACCGAATTAGCCCGTTTGAATACGAACTCGTAAGTAATTAGCCTCGTGTGCCTCTCGAACCGCTACGCTCGCTCTCACAAGCGAACCGGAGCGAAGATAGCGATGCGACGCCAGCGGAGAGCGCAAATGGCTAATCAAATCCTTTCCCGGCCCTCGACGGAATTCGAGTGCTCTTTTTATTTTTTAATTTCATTGTGTCTGAAGTGTCACTGCGCTGACAGCACAGCATTCTTCGTTAGACTGCCTATGTACTTATTCACTCTTGCTAACTGTATTTTATAACCGATGCGATAGTGATTCATATAAGCTTCTGTGCGAAGAAGGTTTGGTACTAAAATAAAAATTTAATTGAAATTTGAATTAGTTCTATCGTGAAGAAGCATTTTTGCAGGCCGGCAAGGTGAGGATGGTTGGTGTGGCAGTTTATAACTGCTGTACCAGCTATCTTCGCGTTTGGACTTTGTTACCACTGAACATCAGGTGGGGTAGAGTCATTTGCCTACAGAGAAATTTATTGTCTCCCACAGCCTCTTTTGTGCGTGTCAAAATTCGCCATCGACACGCAGCTCAATAACTTTTTAAGACAAAACTATTTCGAAGGTTTTTTTTTTTTAATTTTACATCTGTCATTTGTCAAATGACGAACGCAAATTTTTGCGCATTTGGTACCAGAGTCACCCGAAGCTGTGTCAAGGTGTGGCAGATTGTGGCATTACTGGTGCAATGTACCATTGTACCATGTTACAAATATCAAAATATCTACGTTAGCGTTTCTAAATTTCACACGTACAGACTTCTTACTGAGCAAGTTGTTAAAAATGTATACAGAACAGTAATGCCGTATTTATTATACTTAAAACTAACTACCATCGTATTTAATCAATTCAATTGATTGCTATTGCTAGTACTTCACCAAAGCCGATACACAGATAATGTATTAACTCTGAATAGTTAAAAAAAAAACTGGAGTACACAAGAAAAAGATTTTTATCCAAAAAAATTGTGTGCACGGACCATAACTCCAGTACCCTTAGCACGAACCAATATCGAACTCGTAACGTTTTCGAGTACGAAATGTCATTGTCAAATGTGTACTGATTTTTAGTTTCTCGTTACATACTTTGTGGAGTTACTGTTCAAGTTTCCATACAAAATTTGACATTGACATTTCGCGCTCGAAAACTATTCGAATTCGATTATGGTTCGTGCTAGGGGTACTGATATAAAACTTATTTTCTTAAATAACCTAATATTAGGGAATGGAGTAGTGCACTCATCACGCATATAGATGTATATAAATATATATATATTGTCACGTGTGACGCTCGTGACGCTAGTAGCGTTTCAGCCTTCGCCGAGTTACCCTCCAACTTTCATGCTCGTCGGGAAGAGCTGCACACGCATCTCACACACACACATATATTATACAGGATGTTACAAAAATACGAATAAAGCTTGAAGGGCGTTGAAGTACATATTATAAGGAGTCTTCTCTAATTTTCTTAAAATATTTGCAAGAAGTTTGAACCTTTTATAAAATCAGTTATTTTTGATGATTAATAAAAATATCGATCATTTTAAGACACGTCACTAATTCGGGGTTCATGCACCTTACCAGGAGTAGTAATAAATCTGCTGTAATAAAGAACATTAGAGAAGATTCTTTATATGATGTACTTCAACGCCCTTCAAGATTTATTTGTATTTTTGTAACACCCTGTACGTATAATAGTGTGACGTTCGTGACGTATTTCCGTTTCTTCTTCTCCATAGGATTTTTCCATCAACACCCCGACCGTAAAGAAATTTCACTTCAAAAAAATAGGTGCGTCTTTCCACTATATTTAACAGTACCATCTTTCCATTCGCAGAGAGTTCTACTACATCCAGATGGAGAAGTACGCGCGGCAGGCCATCAGCGAGGGTCTGAAGACGGCCGAGGACCTCCACGTGGCAGGGGACTCCGAGTTGTACAGGGTGCTCAACCTGCACTACAACAGGAACAATCACATAGAGGTGAGATCTGCTTAATTTCTGTACATTTTTTTATTGTTAGATAGTTCAAGGTGGGTGGCTTTTGTGGTTAGAGGTACCTCATTTCATTAAAAGTATACTATCTACATAGTCATTGGCCTTTTTTGACGTTCTGTGAAATGCAATAAGTTTTAAAACTAATACAGTGCAACCTAAAGATAACGTACCACAATAAAACGACTTCACATGAACAAATTCTTCGTAATCCCTTTGAATTTGCCATAAGGAAAATATACCTTCACATTGCGAACACTTTTTGCAAACAAACTCTTTATAACAAATTTTCAAGTATCAAAATTCTAAGTAAATACTTCTAAATAACGAATTTAAACCTCTATACATATAAGGTTTCCATCAATATATGGCCCTTATTCCCATAGAACGTGATTCAGGTCACGCCAGGAAACTATTTTTTACCTAACCTCAGTATACCAAACTTCAGTTTAAAGAATTACTCAATATAACGAATATTTACTTTTTGTCTATCGATTTGTTATATCGGGGTTGCACTGTACATAATTAAGCATTCATTATTTTCCCACCTATTTTACAGTGATAGAATCAACTTATACCTTAATACTTATTGGTTCTGACTATAAAATGTTCACATGAAAAATGTTGATCGGATGCAAACACAACAACGCACAGTGCTCAGTTTTTTGAAGTAATGACCAATTGATCACCTTAAAGAAAACTTTAGTATAATAAGACTAAATTTTGTTAGTTTTCTGAAATTGTCAATGAGCAAGTTTTTCTGAGCTCCATAGAGTAAGCAATGCATAATTGATACCCTGCCCCCGTGGCATGAACACCGCGATAAGATATATAACGCGTTTTAATCACGCTCAATTGTCAAATTACTATGGAACTTGACAGTTAGACGTGACAAAAAACGTGATATAATGTAAATTGTGGTGCTCATGCTACGGAGACTGGTATCGCTAGCATAAACAATGGTGACAGCTTACCATCAGGCGAGCCTCCATCCTAAAGCCTCGATGACACGGGGCGAATTTGCAAGCTACAAGCCAGCGAGTTTCCTAATAGCTTGTAAACTCGCTGGCCTGTAGCTTGAAAACTAGAATTAGTTTACTTACAAACAGTTACTAACGACACACCGTCTTACCTTTCCAGGTGCCGCCAAACTTCAGATATGTAGTAGAGCAAACATTAAGGGAGTTCTTCCGCGCCATCCAGGGCGGCAAGGACGCGGAGCAGAGCTGGAAGAAGTCCATATACAAGGTCATCTCGCGGCTCGACGACCCCGTACCAGAGTACTTCAAGTCGCCCAACTTCCTCGAACAACTCGAGTGAGCGCGCCTCCACGCACAATGTTCGGAATACAAAAAACTTTGGACATAATAAAAAATAAATAAAAAACACTTTTTGGACGTTACGAATATCGTTTCGCACACCAAAATTTTACGACACTCGCATTTAGGCCTTCAGATTCAAAATTATTGATAAAAGAAAAAAAAGTTAAAAAATAAAAATTACTTATTGAAATTTGTACGTTGGAAGTTGAGTGGCGCCATGCCACTAGCGCTCTACTAGGCAATTCGTTAGGTTACGAGTAAGAGAAAATTTAAGTCACCTAGAATTTTATTTCTGCACATAATATATTTCGCTATATATAATTATTATTATATTATTATTAAGTATTATCTTAAAATGGTTTTTATAGTTGTGTATATCTCAAAATCATTTATTGATTTATTATTTAAGAAGAAAAACGATTAATATATTAACTGCTTAAGTTTTGAACTTTTTTGTTTTCTTTTTGTTTACTCCTTTTGTTCCCAATCCCACCCTTTGGAGATGTTAGCCTCCTTATACTTATAGCGTTTGCGTTCTTGGCACACCCTGTGTTGCCGAAAATTGTCAACCTTTACCTCGTCATAATTATTTTAGGAATAATTAACGTTAACCATAGTAATTAGTACAATAGAGCAGGGTTATTTTTCGATCCACAAACAAAGATTCTACAGATTATTTTTATACCGATAGCCAGTTTTAGGTTCAAAGCAGAAGAATTTCAATAGAAATAAACGATACAGTCGCAAAATTCGAAAAGGTTTAAACATCTTAAGTTATTATTAATGTAAGCATCCTTGGTTTGATTATGAAATATTTCGGCATTATTCGGATCGCAATATAGTTGATCCGGGGTGCTGCTACTGCGGCCTTCGGATATAATAGGATTAAGTTTATTTGTTAGATAAAAAACTATTTTCCAAAATTATGCGTGGGCTACAAGCAGTCACCACCACGAGTGCGGAGCGTCACACCATTTTGTTAAGTTTCTGGAACACAGAAAATATTTTGGCAGACAGAAGGACATTTTATAAAACCAGACTTGTTTAAGCATTTTAACAAAGTAAAAAGGATTCCTTAATTAAAACAGGTTCATTTAATTTCATACAGTTATTCAGATTAGATCAAAATTTACATTTCCTAGTAGTAATGGTGACGCGCGCGCTCCGCAGGCGGGCGCTCCGCGGCGGCTATCTTCTCAATAGACATTCCACACGCAATCCAATGCAGGCGCAATAGTTGAAGGCAACACATATAATAGAACAAGTACCTCCCAAAACAGCCGATAAATTTACAGTTACAATATTTAGCATTCGTCAGTACATGCAAATCGCACTGGGCCACATCGTCCGATCAGAAGTGCCTTCAAAAAAATGTTGATTTTTTACGTGAAAATAAGAAATTAATACAAAAGGCCCTCAATAGTACCCACTGCCCAGCCGAGGACGCCGCGCAGCGCCCGCGCATGCCCCGCCTCGCGCACGCAACAGTTCAAACGAACAACAGTATACATACACACACTTACTATTATACTATAGAAGAATAATTAGTTCGATTCGTAGATATATGTAGGGCGACTCGCTCGCCGCTTGTCCCTTAGCTTCGAAGCGAGCGCGCGCTGAGCACGGACGGGCCACGGGACAAGTGCGAGCGGGAACGCATATCTCGATGTATTTGTTATTATACCATGTAGTCGCCGGCCGCCAACCCCGCAACGCGGGAGCACTTTCATTTTACATCCTCAGTTTCACAGGACAAATGAATTTCACAAACTTTATTTCGCTTCTCAAATAGATATAAACCAATAAGATAGATTGTACAGAGATTTATAGCGATGTGTACATAATACGATAGTTTTAATACAGAACAAATGATAAATCTACTATCTTAGCGCTAACGGTATTTTGTAAGGCTCAACAATAGAAAAACGGAATATTGCGAATTGTTTTGCGGAATTGTACAAAGGTTTACACCATCCTCAGTTCACGGTACGAACCCGCGCAGGGCGGGCGGCCGGCCCTAGCTAAGCAAGTGTAAGCATTTTTCTTTTGATATTACACGTTTGTTATCGTTTCATTTGTAACCATTTGATCTATTACGATAATGTAAGGGTACTTCAGTTTAGGATGGACCAGGCGTCGACTGGTGTGCTTTGAATAGTTTAGGTTAGGTGAGAGAGATACGGAACTCTTCTATATCAGAGACATCGACACATAGAATACACGCAGCCTCCCCCTCGTCCGGCCTCCGGTTTTATGTTCCAAATCCTCCCGGCCACTCGGTGGCCACCACCCACTCAGCCATACACTCCGCAATAGCCCAGGTTCAGTTTCCATTCCGTCGTCGGTAAGCAAGTACGCAGTCGCCGCAGGGCTTATTCGAGAACGATCATAGTTCCATGTTACGTTACCATTGTGTTATGTTACGAGTTGTTTGTTTCAGATAACAAAACTGCCAGATTAGAGCTGAAAATTTGTATATATATGTGTAGAACTGATGTGTCTCTGCTAGTCCTGATAGACCGTTTGAATTGAGATATGGAATTGATTACATACTTAAACTTGGTTGAATTGAAACTATTGAAAGAGACACAGAAAGTTTATATTTTGTAAGGGTGGTAGGTTAGATCACGCGTGCAGCGTTGGATTCGTTTCAGCTCTAAGCTGACAATGGTCATGTATTAATTCCTTGTATAGTAAGTAATGTATCCGTTAATCCGATCTCTCCATAGATTTCTTCATACTACTGAAGTGTTAACGCAGGCTACACAACACATATTACAATAGAAATGTATTGATTTCCCATCGACAGTATTCAACTGACATGCCGTAATTTGCAGATACTTGGAGCCGTAAATGTTTTGAATATATTTTCAGGCGTAAAAATTGTGTAATGATATTTTGTAAGTTATTTGTGTACGAAATGTTTAGTCCGGATTTTATACTTGTGTGACTCACTGTGCAGCTACAAGACCACAAAGGATATCAATGCGATCGCGCCGATACTGATCATTCGATATTCGATTAATTATTCATAAGTTATGGGTTGACAATTTTTATAAATTTAGTGTAAAGACTCGAGTTTGACACATCGAAGTTTTTAGTCCACACAGTGATCATGGGGGCTATCCCACAGAAAAAAGTACAAAATTCGGTGTTGACTTTGAAGCTCATGTTTGTATCTATTTAATATATATGTAGATTTATTGAAATTGCCCTTTCGGCGGAGTCATTTCTTCTTGTTTGAGATTTTTGTATTTAGATAAATAGTTTATTTACGTTCAAAAATATTGTATCTGACGTTTTTGCTTTACATCTTTAGTGTTTTCGAATCCGTCTACGAAATGTTTGGATTATCAATGTAAAATGAAACAAATATGTAATTATTTTCAAAATTAATTATAAAAAAAAACAATATATGTAGAATGTATATTTTGGTTTCACGTTTGGGTATTATGGTTCCTAAATTTTCGAAATTGTAATAGACTCTATTGTATGTAGCATTTCATTTTTGGAAATTAGAAAACAATTAGATGTACCAAATAGCTGTATCAAACTTTTCTATACGTGAGAATAAAAAACAAATAAGGGAAGTGCTGAAAAATTTAGGTAGTTATTAATAAGTGACATTCGTTTATAATATCTGATTACGTAAAACTAACAAAAACTGAGCACGGATATACTATTAGGAAGTCTTATAATACAAATACTGCCGACGCTTAAAAACTAAAAAACTAAGTAAGCTGACTGGACGCCCAGATTTGGGACTCGGAGCAAACCGTCACACAATAGCTAGTCCCGAGCGATCGGAAGTAAAGCGTTCATAATTTTATATTCGAATGTAATTATAAATTATTTATATCCTTGTGGTCTTCATTCGTAACAGCGATACACGTTCATTTTGTATTGACTGTGTTATTGAGTTTCGGTTTTGTTGAATCGGTTCGGCGAGCTACGACCCGTAGCGGTCCGTTTGATATATTTGTAAACTACGATTAGCGGATGCGGACACCAGTGATAAAATTAGTGACAAAATTTTGAAAATAAAACGAAATTATTTTAGGTGTGCAGCGCGGGCCACTTGGCCCAGCCTGGGCACGGTGCGAGCACTGTGCGGCCTACCGGAGAGCCAGTGCCCCGCGCTGTGAGTAAACTTTGACTAGTGTTTAGGCGTCGTTTCGGTATCCTCGCATTTCGGCTAAGTGATAGGAGTCCGCGTCCGCTACTTTCGATATATTTAGTACAAATTTCATGATATTAAGGTTTACGAGGCTCAAAGCTTTTCTTTTGAGCCGACCGCGCTGCCCCCCCGCACCCCACCTACGATATAATGACTCGTGTATAAAATTTTATTCAAAAAGAGTATTTTTGTATTGAATATTTCTAAAGTTGGTGTAAAGATCAAAATTTCGTAATTTATAGCAATGACAAAAAATATGGGGACATTAGGTAAATTTAGGATGTCATGCGTTTTTTGTATTTAATTTTAAGAATAGCGTCGAATATGATATAAACGTTTATGAGCATTAACCATTTGTAAATAAAAAGTTGAGAGGAGGGGGCGCGGGGTGGCGGGGCGGCCGGCCTTTATATAGATAAAAAATTATATAAGTAACTCAAAGATGTTTATATGGTTCTGGATGTAAAAAAGATAAATTTAAAGCAAGTTTAAGGTGAAAAGTGAAAAAAAAGTAATTGTAAACGATTCCTCGGTATTTGTCTTAGAATGGCTACTTGCGGGTCACTATTGTAATCTGTGGGCCTCAGACAAGTCATTACCTGATGTCACAAAACTAACCTAACCTTACTACGCATTAATTATTACGGTTCTTAATACTACAACAATAATAATTATACATTAATATAATATCACATTGTCATAATGCTTATAATTTACGAGCGTGTGTCTTTGTCCGTGAATGTTTTAGGATCTAACCACTGTTCGGTGTAGTAGACATAATGGAGTTATTGTGGATGAAAAAAATTTAATAATAAAAATTAACTTAACAAAATTTCAGGCCTCGAGGCCAGTGGTTTGCAAACATTGCAACATTGCGTTCGCACATTGGTACCTATACCTAACAATTATATTGGCTGTTCAAAAAGTATGTTGATCAAAATTTTAACGAAATCAAAACGATTGTGGAATTCGGTAATACGGTGATGTAATAATGTATCTCTGATAGCAATGTCTGCATGGACACCTTGTTGATACCAGTGAGGGATGTTTCTTCGTGAATATAACGAGTAATAAAGCTAAGCTTTTATTTGATGTGTGTTTTTCATTTGCGCCTGTAAACCTAACCTACCCACAGGATTTACCCAAATCTTATAAATAAATAAATATTTCCAACACACACCAATTAGCCCAGCCCCAAAGTAAGCACTGTAAGGCTTGTGTTATGGGATACTAGGGTAACCGATAGAATAC